ACCTGTGATCTCTCCTGTCAGGAGTCCTCTGGGCTGGGATTGCTAATCCTGCATTGAAACCGAGACGCCACCACATGGGTCAGGGCCACAGAGCAGAGGGCAGATTGGGGGTCACCATCCCTACCCCTGCCTCCACTCTGCCGACTGTGAAGTCTGAGTGCTGGGCTCCAAGGTCCAGTCCAGCTCTGCTGTGCCCACTGCCCTGGGCTCCCGGCCGCTGGACAGCTCAGTGCTGCTGGCCAGGCTGACACAGCTGTCCTTGAAGGCAGCATGGTCGGTGGCTATCACATGCTGGGATCTGTCCCATGACCAGGCTGCGGGGCCAGTGCTGCGCATGTGTAGAACACATCCTATGTGGAGCTGAGTGTGTTGTCAGGGTGAGGTGTGCGGTGGGTGGGGCTGGTGTGACGGCTCCCAAAGCCCCCACCGGGGCATCTGCTGGAACAGGACTCTGCCGGAACCTTTGCTACAGACAGGCTCAAAAGCCCCAGTCCTGTCTGAAGGAAACCCCTTTCCCAGGCCTCCTGCTGCTGCCGAGCCTGCCGGCCAGATCGCAATTAGCAAGCCTCCTGCAGCACCGGAGTGTCCACCCTGTTCCTTGTTCTGCCTTCAGGGCAGCAGGACAAGGACCCAGTCACAGTGACCTGGTTTTGACAGGTGGAAGGGAAAATGGGTAGCATGGCCACAGGGCAGGGACGACTCCTGGGCGGAGGAGGCCGGTGCCCGGGGCAGAGGTCCCTCTCGTAGAGGTCCCTGGAGGCTTCAGGACAGTGCTGGCAGAGGCTCAGAGTGAGCCCCGGGCCTGCGGTGCCCATCAGGCATTGCTACCCTAGCACGTGTCCCATCCTCCAGGTTTCTGTGGAGAACAGCTTCCTTGCCATGGACAGCTCAGAGATCGCATGGTCCTCAGCTCCCTGGGCAGAGGCTACAATCCCCTTCCCAGATCTCCTTCTGCCCAGTCACAGGGTCAGCCCAGGCAGGCAGAGTGTCCTCCATTAGGGACCCTCAAGGTCCTGAGGAGTGTTGGAGGCCCCTGTTGGGACAGGAGGGAGCCCCTTCCAGGGCTGCTGGGTTGGAAGAATGGCTCCAGCTGGTGTGACCAGGGGACCCCAGACCATGTGGCCAGGCCCTAGGGTCCAGGAGAGGAGCCATGAACTGCCAGCCCTCTGAGAGGCCCCAGGAAAGCCCTACCCCAGGGCCCCCATGCCAACCCCGCCGGCCAGGTGACCTGGGACCAGTGACATCTGCTTACTCAGTGGCCTCTGAGAAAGACCACAGGCTCCCATGGGTGTCACCATGGTGACAGGGACCTTCCTGGAGTGTTGAGTCTTGTCCAGGACCCCAGAAGTGGGCCCACATTCCCCTGCAATGCCTCGGTGCTGAGCACACAGAATGCGGAGCCCATGTCCCTGAGCTAGGTCAGCTGTGCCAAGGCCAGCATGTAGCCTCACTGTGTTCCCATGCCATGGTCTGGTTGGCTCTTGGTGCCCATGGGGTCCTTGAAACAGGACACAGGTGGCTTCGCTGTGTGAACATCTCCAGGGACCTGCCTCCAGCTTCCCTGTCCCCGTACATCCCCATCTTTCCCTGGGCGGCAGGGCAAGCAGGGTCTGGCGGCAGCTGGGGCTGCACAGACCTGCCCCATGACCCACAAATGTGGAAACCTGCTCACCCAGGTCCCAGCCTGCAGAATCAGCATGTGCACCCAGGCCCAGGAGGAGACGGATGCACAGTGCTGTTCTTCAGGTTCGCCTGGTGCCTTTCACCTTGTGTGTGGCTGCTGTGAGCGTGTGGGGCTCAGCAGCCCTGGTCCTGACCCCTGCCCACAGGGTAAGTTGAGTTGACAGGGACAGTCTTGTGCCTCAGTTTCCCCATCTGCCATTCTCACAGATCCATGGTGGGGAGGAACATGGCGGCCTGTGTAGAGCATGGCTTGGGCCTGGCACACCGAGGACCATGTCATCATGGCTGGGTCTTAGGCCTGCCGGCTTCAGTATAGGGCTGTAGGGTCTTGGGCTTTGCAGGGGTGGCAGTGAGGAGTCCCAGCCACCTCCTTGAAGGCTCTGGATCCAGCTGGGAGCTGGCCTGGGCTGCTCAGCAAAGTCCACCCTTTGCTAACTGCTGGCCACGCCCCCGGGACCGGCTGGGAACACATCAGGATCCGCCCTCTGGAAAGGCACAGGCTCTCCAGGCACGCTGGCCTGGGAACTCTCTCTAGAGCCAGAACAGGCAGCCTGGGCAACGCCTAGTGCATACCCAGGGGACTGGGGGCTCCTGAGTGCTGCCCAGCCACTCCCCAGCTTGTCTGGTCCCCAGAATGCATCAGGATGGACAGGAGGGTGGGGCAGCACCCAGCTCCTCAGTGCCCTGCTGAGTCACATTCTCCCTGCTCAGCCCTGTACCTCAGTCTCCCCACTGTAAGGGGAGTGTCAGGGTCTGCTTCCAGGGCTGGACACCTGGGTCCGGCACATGGGATGCTTTATTTCATTTCATTTCATTTTGGTCTAAAGCCATACTACCTTCACTGTGCTGATCTCCTCAAAATGCAGGGTTTTGCTTTTTTTTGTTTTTTTTTTTTTGGCAGAACCAGGAATTGAACTCAGGCCCTTGTGCTTACCAGGCAAGCGCTTATTCCACTGAGCCATCTCCCCAGCCCCGCTTTTTTGGTTTTTGCAGGATTTTATATTTCGCTTTGTATTTTGGGTTGTTGGTTTTTTCTTTCTTTTTTTTTTTTTTTAATGTAGTGTGTGTGTGTGTGTGTGTGTGTGTGTGTGTGTGGCCAGCTCAGCCCACCAGGGGGCGGGGCTGGCTGGCATTTGGTGCTGGGGGGATTGAACCGCGGTCCTTGTGCTTTGCTAAGCTTGTTCTAAGTAGGTGCTTTAGACCACTGAGCCATCTCACCAGCCTCTGTTGGTTTTTTTCTTTTTCAGCACTGGGATTGAACCTAGGGCCTTCCCCTTGGGGCAAGGAGGCTGGGCCATGTGACCCAAAGCACTTGAAGTCCAGCCAAGACTCGGGTGGTGCTTTTTTTTTTTTTTTTTTTTTTCTTTTTTTGCGGAACCAGGGATTGAACTCAGACCTTTGTGCTTGCCAGGGAAGCGCTTATTCCACTGTACTATCTCCCTGGCCCCTGGGTGGTGCTGTCTGCTGCCCACCACCATTCCTGTGACCACACCTGGGGTAGGGTGGGCTGGGGCACTGCCACCAACACCCTGCCAGCTTTCCCAGACCAGGAGCTTCGGACCTGCAGCCTCAGACTGCCTCTCCACAGCATCTGAGCCCTCGAAGTGGAAAAGTGCCGGGGACAGTAAGAGGCCACAAAGCCCTAGAGAGCGTGCCACGAGGAGCTTCAGACCCCAGCCACTGTGGACTGGGGCAGATCTCCAGCCCCAGGGAAGGGGCTGTGCCTAGCACCAACCCTACAGTGTTTGCAGGAACAAAGTGTGTGGGGGGAACCAGACCACACACAGCACACCTTTTCTGCCGCAGGGTGACATCAAATCCCTGCCAGTCATGGGGCACCAGCAGGACACTGTGTGTCCCAGCCTCAGTGTCGGGAACACCATGGACGCGGTGGTGCCCAGTACACATTTGGCGAATGACACTGGGTGGGGTCTGTCACTGTGGGCACTGAGTGTCCAAGCTCCCTTGTGCCCAGGTGGTATAGCCATTCCCCACGCGTCCTGCCCCCAGGCTGGTTCCCCATTTGTGTGTGCCTACTGGCTCGGAGCCACCTCTGCAGAACTTACCTGGAAACCCTAAGCAGCAGCATCCCAGGCCTGGGCCTGTGACCCAGAGCTAGCCTGACATTTGGAGCTCCTGGCCCTGCCCTGTCTGCCTCTGCCCAGGAACGTCTGGTCAGATGGGGGTGGTGAGCTGGGCCACTTCCCTCGGGGGCACCTGCATGTTTGCCTTCTTTGGTTGTCACTAGGTCTGGCCCCTGGCCATGCAGCAGGCATGGCGTTGACAGGTCCCCACAGCTGCAGCCACACGTGTGCCCAGCCGTCAGCCTGGGACAGGCAGTGGGGGAGGCACCCCGTGGGAGGGAGGCCAGCGGCTGCAGCTGAGGATGGCAGGTGCGGGCCAGGCGCGGGTGGCAGAAGAGGGCATGTCCCCACGTGTCCGTACTGTCCTTTTCCTTCCAGAGGGGGAGGGAAGGCTGGGGCTGCATGGTGTTGGTGGGGAACATGTATGGCAAGTGTCCTGTGGGCCACCATCCCCAACGCTGGGAAAGCCAGACCCTCATGAGTCCACACAACGGTGGCCGGGCACTGAGCCAGAGATGAAGGCCAGCTGGCAGCACCTCAGTGGGCGAGACAGCCGACAGGCATGGAGTTCCAGGGTCTAGCTCTGCCTGCTCCTCCGTGAGGGTCACCAGCGCACCGGGTCCCAGGGAGCTGGGACTGGGGTATCTTTGATTCCTAGGGTGGTGAACTTATGGTGACACAGGACTCTCAGCCCTCTCATGAGGGCAGCTCCTTGCTCTGCCCACTGGCAACCTCTCAGGATCCTGCTCTCAGGTCTGGGGACTCGGTCCCCCAGCCCATGGCCCACCCTTTATTCTTCCTGCCCATTTCCTGCACCCCAACCCTGAGTTTCCTGGGCTGAGCCACAGAATCCCATGACAGCCTCCTGCTTGCCTGTGACACAGTCCAGGCCAAGGATGTCCATCTGCTGTGAAGGTCCCTTCACAGGGGTGACAATTAGAGGTTCCCAGCCCCTCAGGTGCCACCTGCTCTTTGAGCACCAGAAAACCTGGGGGGCCTCGTCTGGGACACTGAGGGCTGAGAGCCTAAGGACCCACACTGTGGAGCAGCCTAGAGTGCAGCTGCGCCCTGCCAAACCGTGGCAGGAAAGCCTGATTTAGAGGGCTGCATGCCATCTGCAGGCCACTTGGGGGCCATGGCTGTGCAGGGCCTGGAGCTGAGGGGGCAGGGACCCAGCGTTGTGGGCACAGGTGGAGCCAGCTACATGTCCCTCATCAGCTCTCCCTCTCCCAGTGGACAGGACAGAGGAGGCCGCCGCAATGCCTGACTCCCCCGCAGAGGTGAAGACGCAGCCCAGGGCCACACCTCCCAGCGTGCCACCCCCACCACCCGCTGCATCCCAGGGCGCCACCCGCCCGCCTTCCTTCACAGCGCACACACGTGAGTAGCCCTGAAGCTGTGATGACCCTGGTGGCATCTTTGCGGTGTGGAGCCTACACTGCATGTCTGGCTGTGTGGCTTGGGAGGGACTCTGAAACTCTGACCTGCCAGGATCCTCATCAACAATGCGGGACATCTAGGGTTGCTGCCTCATGGGCACCATGACTGTGGCGTGAGAACGGGGCTCTCATACCAGTGGCAGCACACGGTGGGTGCCACTAATGCTGGCTCCGTGCAGGATTGTGGGGCCTGGCCCCCAGATGAGTCAGGGTGGACCAGTCAGCAACCTTGGGTGATGCTGCCCTGGAGCCCTTGGGCTGTCACGTGAGTCCAGAGCAGGTGCCACTGGCGCTGGCCATGGCTGCTGAGAGGACCTGGGTCCTGATGGTGGCAAGTGTAGCCTCATGTTTCCAGGATTGAGCGAGGGAACCCATGTGGCCCTGCCCCAGCCTTCCCTGTGATGCCCCCCAGGGACAGGACCTCGGTTCCTCACCTGGTGACCTGGTCCCCAGCAGCCCACAAAGCCAGCTCTGCTTCCACAGCTATTCCTGTGGCTGAGCCCAGAGCCTGGCTTTGACTTTATCATCACAGGTGTGGAAGCCAGGCAGCCCCAGCCCTGTGCACAGGAGGCCTCCTCCCAGGTAGCAGGCTCGCCTCGTAGCAGTCTTCTGCTGAAAGTGGCTGGGGTGCTGCTGCTGCTGCTGGCTGAGGCCATATGCAGGGACACCTGGTGCAGGCACATGTGGGAGCCGTGTGTCTAACACCCTCCACTCCCTCACCTTCTGTCGGCCTCCAGCTCCATACTAAGGGTCTGGCTGGGCCCTGGTCCTCACGTACAGTGGGACTGGAACAGGACACCAGCTGGGCCTCTGGCAGTGGCAACCCTCCCAGGGCTTCCCTAGGCCACACTGCTCCAGCAGAGGCAGCTACACACACACACACACACACACACACACACACACACACACTGACTGCCTTGACCCCCTCTCTCTCTCAGAACCCGCCCACAGAGGTCTTGGTCCACTGGGTGGCCATCAACTGATGCACTGGGCAGCAGGGAAGCTGTTGGCTGTGGGCTACAGTTGCTGCTGGCACTTGAGCTGGGGCAGGAGCTGTGCTGGCGGACTGTGGCAGCCCCGGGCAGCTAGGAGAGATGCAGCCCCTAAAGAGACAGCCACCAGATGCACTTGGGCCCCACATGGGAGGAGCAGGTCACGTGGCCCCAGCCTCCCTGCCCCAAGCACTGGTCTGAGGACCTGGAGGGGCTGGAATGCCAAGACCCTTGTGGCTTTGCTTTTTTGTGGCCATAGACCAGAGTGTCCCCTGCATTCTTCCATACCTACTAACCCACCTTGGGTCACGTTTCCAGGTGAGAGTCCCAGCACCCGCAGAGAACAGAACCTGGTAAACGGCAGCTCTTTCCTTAGGTGGTGCCCTCTGTCGGCTTAATAGACATGTCCACCCGAGATCTGGCCTCCTCTGGGGTGGCCTTAGTGCTGCCCCCAAGCCACATGCTTCCCCGAGCGCCCAGGGTTCACCAGGTCTGCACCTGGCTGGCAGCAGCCCTGCCCAAGCCTCTGCAGCCAAGCTAGCAGTACTGACCTTGACCCCGGGCTTGAGGCCATGATTCTCCTGGCCTGGCCTCTGTACTGGGCACAGCCGACCTTGGAGTTGAGCCACATGTGGCTGGAAGAAGGTCAGGGAGGCTGAGGCAGCACAGCCTGGAGGAACACAGGCAGTAGGGACCCAGGCCAACTTGTCCGGGGCTGGAGCCCTCGGGGCCAAGTCTCCATGCAGCCCTGTGACAGAGTGCTCGCTGTCTGCTCATGAGATTCCCACCAGCCCACCCAGCCCTGTCCTCCTACACACACCCTCTGTCCCAGGGCCCTGCCCTGAGCCTGGCACTGACACATAGCTTGGGCCCAGGAGGCCATGCAGGTCCCCAGGCACTGCCTGGGAAGAGGGTCCCACCCATGCTGACCCAGAGGCTGAAGTTCTCATAGACTCCAGGGGTCCTGCCAGAAATGGCCTCAGAGACCACCCATCCAGCCCCATCATTTCCAGATGGAAACTGAGGCCCAGAGGGGCCAGCCTGTGGCAGCCTCCTGAAGCATGTTCTTCTTATTTTGCTTACAGATGGCGAGGACGGGCCTGCGATGTCTCTGCCCCATGGCCGTTTTCATGGCTGCTTAAAGTGGTCCATGGTCTGTCTCTGTAAGTAAAATAACAAGAACCATCATCACTTCCCTGTACTCCACAGAGAGCAGGGCCTGAGTCACAGGGCCGGGACCCAGACCAGGGCCCCACAGTGGCCTTACACACTGATGCCTCCTGAGTCACTCTCCCAGTGGCGGGCCTGGGTGGCAGCGTTGTCCCCAGGGCTGTGAGGACAGAAAGGGACAGTGATGCAAGTTAGGGCACATCAGGCTCCGCTACTCAAGGGCCTGGCAGGGTGACCTGGGGGAGGTAGGGCCGTGTGTGCCTCAGTTTCCCCCAGTAAAGCGGACCCAGCCAGAGCATAGAGGATCACCTGAGAGCTGTCGCCGTGACCTCTGCACGTCTGTGTGCCATGGCAGCATCCGCCCTAGCCATCAGTTTCACCAAAATATGGGGCCACACCAAGGTCTGGGAGACAAAGCTGACCTCAGAGCCCTGTCCTGTGAGACTAAGCAAGCCCCCCCCCCCCCAGGGCTCTGGGAAGAAGAGCGTTCAAGGACAGTGTCAGGGACCACTTAGGCCCCATCCTCCTCATTGCCGTTGTCGGGCTGCGCTGCCATCCACATGGTTGTATGGTTCTTGCTGAGGTGACAACGGTCCTCCCAGCTGCAGAGCTGCTGGCCCCTCTGCAGGGAGGGCTGGCACAGGGGCTGTCTGTGGGGTTCCTCCATCCCTGCTGGCCCACCACAGCCACGAGGCTGGGGAGCCCAGGGTGCTGTGTGGGCCCCCGCACCTTGGCTGGGACACGTGTGCGTCTAACTTAGTAACACACCTGTCGCGGGAGCAAAGGCACTTGTGCCGGGGTCTATTTTTGGCGTCTCTTTAGCAAGCTGCTGAGGCTGCTGGCAGCCAGGGAGGAGAGACGGCAGCGAGCAGGCCACAGGGACCCGGGCACCCAGGGCCAGGCTGGTAAGCGGCCTCGGGAGGGCGGCCTCGGGAGGGGCCTGGCATGCCTGTCTCAGAAGCCATCGGGACCCAGAGGACTCAGGAAGCAAGTCCACTGCAGTGGTGAGGTCTCCGTGGCAATGGGCTGCTCCCTGGCCCAGTTGGGGTGACAGCGAATGGCTGTCATAGGCCCTGACAAGGGCATCTGAGTCAGTAGCCACCATGAGGTCAGAGCTCACCTGTGAGAAGGACAGACAGCCACAGCAGGGCTGGGGCTCGAGGGGCCTGCAGGGCTGGGACCTGAGGCAAGAGGGACACTTAGCCCGTTGCCCTCCCCGGACCATTCCTGCCTGCATGGCACGGATCCAGAGCCCTGCTATCTGTCCTCACCTCCGAGGAGCTCCCAGGCCACGGAGCCCTCGCGTGCCCACAGCAACAGTGCTCAGTCCTGCAGCTCCTGGCAGTGAGCGTCCTCACAGCACCCGGCATGCTGGCCAGTCACAGGGACCCCCAGGGATGTCTTCCAGGGGAGGCGGGGGAGGCTCCAAACAGGACTGTGGAGCACACGGAGCCTCCCTGGCTCTGCTCTGGAGCCCCAAAATCCCAAGTACATTGCAGATGAGGGACAAGATAGGCAGATAGGCAAGTCCCTATGTGACCAAGCGGCTGTCTCCCACCTGGGAGTGGTGTCTGTCACTGTCCTCACACATGGGGCACTTGAAGGTGACCACCAGGACTCGGACCAAGGGGAACATACCCACACTCTCCCTCAGAGCAGCCCTGGGCTGGGGTTCTACCTGGCACCTGTGCCCACTGGGCCCCTGGGCAATGGGTCAGCATGGATAAGTGCCTGCTCAGGGCTGCCCTGCTGGGTCTGAGCACCCCGGTGTCTCTGTCCAGTCTGTGGGTTAGAGGGAGGTTCTTGTAGAATGAGCCAGCCTGGCCTACCTGGGTGGTCGCATGCCGAGACCATGGGGGTATCTGACCACAGATAGTAATGGGCCTAGGCATGGGCAGCAGGAGACCTCAGGGCTGGCCTTGTGGGACCAGGTCCCCTCCCCAGGCCTGCAGGGTGGATGAGGAGTGACCAGCCTGAGCAAGCAGTTGTCAGAGATCACACCCGCCTCCTGGTCAGGACGGGTGGGGTGGCCTGCCTGAGAACCCCGGGTGTAAGCACACACAGGAAACAGCAGGTGCCCGAGGCTGACGCAGCAGCACCCAGCGTGCCTGGATAAGGGGCTCCATGCCCCTGGCACCACAGGCCCTGCCAGGCTTAGCCACAGAGGATGGAGGTAGCCAAGCCTCTAGGAACTTGTTCTTGAAGAAGTGGCCCTGACCACCCATGCCCTGTCCCCACACTCTCAGCTTGGGCCTGATAACTCAGAGGCTACAGAGCAGGCCAGGACAGTGCCTGGGAGCAGAGCAGGTCTTAGCAGAAGAGGAACGGGGATGTGAACATGTGTGCACATGTGCATCTGTGTGTGTGTGCGTGATCTGTGGCCCTCTGGCTGCAGGCCCTGAAACTGGTCACTCGGGGTCCCCAAGGCCAGGCACAGGGTGCAGACACACAATCATGGGGCTCCCCGCAGCCACCGCAACCTCTGCATACTCCTCTGGGCTAGGGGTGAGGACATGCGTGGGACACATCGCCATAGCCCAGTGTCTGCCTGAGCCCAGGGACACTGACCCACCAGTGGGGCCAGCCAGCATCTTGTCCCAGTGGCAGACAGTGCTAGCTCCGCAATGTGTACACCACCTGTCCCTGCCTGTCCCCAGCATGCCCCAGCCAGGCCAGTCGCACCCCTCTGCATGTCCAGCACCCGTGGGCAGGACCCAGCCTGCTTATCCCAGAGAGCCTGGTCCTGAGCCCTAGACCAGGAGTGACAGGATTGCTCGGGACTGGGGGCCAGGGCTTGGGCTGAGGATGTCAGTGGAGAGATGTGTCCAGGACCACATAGAGGCAGGGCTACTGGTCCCTGGGCAGTGGTGAGCAACTCGTTGTCTCCACCCCCAGGAAGAGGTAGCTCGAGCCAGTGATGGGCTGGCACCTGTCGCGGGCCTCACCTCCGCCACACTAAGGTGCTGTCACTTGGGGACACTGCAGGCCTGGAGCCGCCCTCCCTGACGCCCTGGGCACAGGCTTCATCCCTGGTGTCATTTCCACACCTTGAAGGGGTCGCATGGCCCCATATGGCTGTAGGGCCCTCATAGCAGTGGGCACAGCACACTGGGCACCACTCCCTGCATGGTCAAAACCCTCCATCACTCAGTGCTGCTGTGGCTGTCCCTGCTGTGGCACCTCCTCTGAGGCTCCACTGTGTCTCCTCTTCCTCCCGCGCAGTGATGAATGGTGGCAGCCACTCACCGACGGCCACACCCAATGGCTTCAGCAATGGCCCGGCTACCTCATGCTCAGCCACATTGTCCACACAGCACCTGCCACCAGCCTGTGGGGCCCGGCAGCTCAGCAAGCTGAAGCGCTTCCTCAGCACCCTGCAGCAGTTCGGCAGTGACATCTCACCTGAGATTGGGGAGCGTGTGCGCGTGCTGGTGCTGGGGCTGGTGGTGAGTGGGCTGTCCCCCAACGTGGGCATGCACATGCACGCTGCCTCAGCCTCTCTGGGGCACGGTGATAGCGACCTGGCCCGGGGGGGTGGCAGTGGGCTGTTGCTGACATACAATCGCTGTCTCCCAGAACTCCACGCTGACGATTGAAGAATTCCACTCCAAGTTGCAGGAGGCCACCAATTTCCCTCTGCGGCCATTCGTCATTCCCTTCCTGAAGGTAGCATGGCCCTGACCCCACCCCCAGCCCCAAGCCTGGTGGAATCCTTGACTGGTCAGGCGATTCCTGCCAATTATGGCAGCACCCTGGTTGTCAGCAGATTAGTCAGCACCAAACGTGGGCTCTAGGAAAGATTGTGGGTTCAGCACTGCGTGCTCATTGGCCACAGGTGCTATCCACACAGCAGCCGTCCCCAGGCACCACGAGGTGCCAGGAGTTAAGGCTTGGGATGGCTGCAAGTGGCAGGCGTGTGCTCACCAGAGCCTGGCCAGGGGAGGGTGCACTGGTCATTGCTGTGGATACCAGAACTGCGGGCAGGGAGGAAACAGCACAGAAGCCCCCAGGAACAGAAGGCTGTGCGGGGCTGAGGAGGACCTGGGAGTGGGTGGTGGGTGGCTGGGGACCAGGCCCTCCAGGCAACAGGAACAGCATGCACCAAGGCCCTGGGGGCAGGAGCAGCAGCAGGCTGGAATGGAACGAACGAGGGTGGCAGTGGGCAGTGAGTGGGCAGGCAGCACACAGCTAGGCCGTGCGGCGGGTGCAGAGCGGTCTGAAGCAGACCGTCAGGGTCAGGGCTCCTTCCAGGGGACCCCAGGTCAGGCTGGAGCAGATGCTTGGGCCCTTCCACTCTGTACTTGGCAGTGGTGGCAGAGGCAGCGGCGGTGACTGCTGCTGCTGCTGCTGCTGCTGCTGCTGCTGCTGCTGCTGCTGCTGCTGCTGCTGCTGCTGCTGTGAAATGGGGACCCTCAGGCTCTGGGAGGCTGTGTGTGGGAGTGCAGTGCTTGTGACATACAGTGGCACTGTTGAAAATTCAGTGCGTCCCCTAGAGGGGGAGCGAAGGGCACGGGCACCTCTGCTCCACACCGTCTTCTTCCACCATGACTGCCACTCAGCTCTGCCAGACACCACATTGGTAGCAGGTGCCCCATGGTAGTGTGGTCCCAGATGGGATAGTATGGCCACCATCACCTGACCCAGCCCACACCAGGGCACACAGCCCAGTGGCTGCCCACAGAGGCCTGGCACTGCCCAACCTCCTGGCCTGTTTTCCTCTGCCCACCATAGCTCCCACTATAGCTCCTACACAGCTTGTCCTTTGTCCCTAAAACGTGGGTCCAGTCTGTGGGGGCGCTAATCGTGTAGGGCTCGCCCTGTCACCCAGGCTCCCTGGAACCATCACACTGGGAATGTCACAGCTCCACCTACAGTGAGGCTGAGTCAGGCTGAGGGACCTTCTCAAGGACTCAGCAGCCTTGGTGACCTACCAGGCTCTCAGCCCGGAGCTGCTGCACGCCTCGAGGCTCTGGTCCTCGGGGCTGTTTAGCCAGCGCGCATGTCCCATGTGAGGAAGCTCTGGCAGTACTAGAGCACTGCAGCCTCGTGAAGAGGTGGAGTCGGGCCCCCTGTCCCATGGCCCAGTACTCCTGGGGACCGTGGGGACTCAGATCCCTGTCCCGGGTCAGGCAGGGCTGTCCCCACTAAGGCTGTTACGCTTCTGGACCGTGCAGCAGTGCTGCCTGTCCCGGGTCCCCACCACCCCAGCTGCTGTGCTGGCCAGGTGCTGGCTTTCCAGAAGCTGGGACAAACCTGCCTCCGCAGCCCCGTCTCCCAGTTGGCCCAGGCTTGAGAATCCAGATGTTTCCACCGCCCCACAGTAACCAGCTGGTGCTGTGCCGGCCAGAGAGGGGATGCGGGGCCCTTGGGGCCTCCCGGGGCCTGGTTCCCAGCTCTGGCTCCTGACACATCAGGCAGATGGCAGATGGCCCACGTTCAGCTAGCAGAGAGGAAAACAGGCCCGGCAGCCGGCGCCGCCTGATGAGAACAGTGAAGGCCGGATGGACGGGACGCACTGTGAGGGCTGGGAGGTAGAGGCAGAAAGCCGTCAGCAGCTTTGAAGTGTATGAGAAAGAAGGGAACTGAGTTTATTTATACATACTTGGAACTGTGGCCCTCCCAAGTGGCCTCTCTGGGCTCTGGGCCAGCGCTTGGGCCCAGCTGGCCCCACCCACCCCACGTGGCTCTGGGAAGCTAGTGGTGCACAGGGAGGCCAAGCTGGAGCAGTGGCCTGGACACAGCATGCAAGGGTCTGCGCGCTTACCTGCAGACCCCAGGCCACATCAGCTGTGCTCGACAGCCTACAGAGGCAGGTGCATGCTGACCCCAAGTCCCAGCTCCAGGCTTCCCGCAGGGGTGCTGTCATCCCGCAGTGCCCCCCCCCCCCAGGGGCCAGAGCAGACTCTGCAAGTCACCTGTTTCTGCTGCTAGAGCCTCTGCTTCAGTTCATTGTGTGCTTGGGGCTGTTGCTTCCCTTCTTCACACCTCCAGATCCTCCTGGTGACAGGGTCGGGGCTCTAATCTCAGGACCACAGGTCACTGCCCTGTTGGCCTCCTGTGTGGCTCATAGAAGTAGCAAGGTGGCCGGGGTGACAGGGAGCAAGGCCTGGAGCTGGGTAGTCACCAGCCCAGGCTCCAGGCGCTCAGCCTCAGCTGTGGATGTCCCCCGTCCCCCCACAGGCCAACCTGCCCCTGCTGCAGCGTGAGCTGCTGCACTGCGCCCGCCTGGCCAAGCAGACACCTACCCAGTACCTGGCACAGCACGAGGAGACACTGCTGGACGCCAGCACCAGCTCCCCAGGAGACTCCGAGCTCCTGCTGGAGGTGAATGAGCATGGCAAGAGGCGAACACCCGACAGGTACTGCCCCCACACACTGCTGCCCACCAGCAACGGTCCCAGTGCCGTGCTTATTGCTGCAGAGCCTGGCAGCCCCAGGGCAAGGCTGAATGACAACAGTGGATAGCACTTCGTTTTGCAGCTCCCATCACAGTGGCCAGGCCATGGTCCAGGCTGATGGGCAGAGCCCCGGGGTCTTTCCACAGAGGCCCGGGCCCCCAGTGCCTGGGCTGGGGCCCTCTGCCCACCACAGAGGAGCTGTGCACGCACTCCCTACAGTGCCTGGGGAGTAGCACTAACCCCAGGGGCCTAGGTGTCTCCTCCCCATGCCATCGATGGAATACCCTCAAGGTGTAGAGGAGACTGTACCCAGCACTGCCTCCCTCCCACCTCTGGCCTCCTCTATGGCTGGTGGGCATGACCACTGTCTCACTGATTTCTGGACCAGGACCAAAGAAAATGAGTCAGACAATGACCCGCCACACTCCGAGCACCTCGGCAAACGGCCCTGCACCCTGAGCCCTGCCCAGCGCTACAGTCCCAGCAACGGACTGCCACCCCCCATGCCACCACCACACTATCGCCTGGAAGACATGGCCATGGCCCACCACTTCCGCGACCCCTACCGACCCTCTGGTCCCCGGGAGCTGCGGGACCATCACCGGCAGCTTGGTGAGCAGTGTGCAGGGAAGGTCATGTCTGTGTCAGCTCTGGGTTGCCCAAGAGGTCACCTGGCCTCTTCGTGCCTTAGTTTCCACCAAAGCTACTCAATGAACAGAGGTTATGCAAAGACCAAGGTTGTTACTGTGGAGGTGTCCCTGGTCTCAACGACAACTTGTAGGCATGGAGAGCAGGCTGTTTCAGGCTGAATCCTCTCCCCAACCCTGCCTGGATGACCTCTTCAAGAGGTGGTCAGCCAGTGGAGAGCCTGGAAACCACCAACCCCAGGTTGCCCAGGGACCCCAGGGTCTGGAGCAGGTCAGCTCCCACCCCCACTTGGGAGGAATGTACAGGGCTGGGGCCCAGGCAGCAGGTGACAGTGGCTGGCTGCAGCCAGTTCAGGCAGGTGCTAATTCCCACCCATTTCTGCAAACACAAAAACAAACGCCAGCTGTCAGGAGAGCTCAGCCACTATTTTGGTCAGGCTGTTAGCAGAGCCAAGCTTCGCAGGCAGCAAGGAGGATAGTGACAGTGGCTGTGGCCCTGCTGCATATGGGTTTGGGGCTTGGGAACCTTCAGGCTGTCAGCCCAGAGAGAGACCTGGGTTCCAGGAAGTCTGCTCTGCAAGGGCGGGGCATCCAGGCAGACAGCAGGGACACCAGCACTGTCTCTGTCCACACATCTCCCCTATTGGGCCACACCCTGCCTCCTCCACTCCTGCCTGTGACTTGGAACAAATGTGGCTCCCAGCAGCCCAGTATCCTCTGTGAGATGGGGCGATGATGAGGCCAGCTGGAGGGGTGAGGGCAGCTCAGAGCACACAGGTTTCTCCCTGGCACACTCCTGTGTGGGGGCCCTGGAGTCAATCTTCATGCAGGAGCCTGCCAGGGTGGGGAAACTGAGGCACAACAGTCAATACAGACCCCATGGGGAGTGATCGCCTTCACGCTGGCCCTGACCCACTGCCAGCACTCAAGCTGGGCCAAGGCCACGCTGGGTGCCCACCACAGCCTGCAGGCTGACCCGTGGGCAAGCTCAGGTGGGACAAGTGAGTCAGGCTCTGCCTTCCTCCAGGGCTGGAACAGCCTGCTGGGAAGGAGCCTGTGACGGCTCTTCAGTGCAGTGAGGACAAGTGGGTTGGGGAGGCTCTCAAGCCCCAAGGCTACTGAGTGTCACTGAGACTGTCAAGGTGAGGTCTAGCACAGGTGGGGGGCAGGTGTGGCCATGACTAGAACCAGGAAAGGGACAGATTTGTCTCTTTCTCTGAGCTGGGTCCTGAGCCCCTGGGCCAGTGGGCTGAGGGCCAGTGCCTTGGATCCCCCATGCTACCCTGAGGTGCGCACAACCCAGCTCTGGGGACTGAGGCTCAGGGAGCAGGGCAGGGCCGGGCAGAACTAAGCCTGCTCCACCCCTTGCAGCAGTGCCTGGGTCCCGGCAGGAAGAAGTAGTCGACCACAGGCTCACGGAACGCGAGTGGGCAGAAGAGTGGAAACATCTCAACAACGTGAGTCTACCTGGGCATGGCCAGCGCCTCTCAGCTCTGCTTGTGAGGGCCCATGCAGGCCCCCTGGCCCAGCACCCCCTCTGCGCCCACCTGGGGTCCCAAGCATGAGCCCTCGCAGTCCCCAGGCCTGTCTGGGCACCAGGGACGATAGGAAGGACAGGGCCATCACACAGGCCCGCTGCTCCACATCCTGCTCCCTGGCTCTTCCAGAGTGGAGGTACTTGGGGAACTTTTTGCAGGGCTCTGTGTGGCTCTGTAGGTGGAATGAGCAGCCTTGCCCCTGGGGCTGCAGGACACCTGTTCCCCGGGCCTCTGATGTCACTCGCACCCGCTGCCTTCCTGGGGCATGAGGGACACCCCTGACTCCTGGCCCACCTGCGCTCCTGTGCCAGCCAGCACCTGCTGTCCTCCAGTGTTGGGCTGGTGGAGACAGTGCCTGGGCTTTGCACTCTGCCCTGGCCATGGCCTGGCCCTTGCGCAGGGCTGCATCTGCCATGCTGCAGGCTCCGGTGCTCACTGCGCGCTGCCTCTGCAGCTCCTGAACTGCATCATGGACATGGTGGAGAAGACACGGCGCTCGCTCACAGTGCTCCGACGCTGCCAGGAGGCCGACCGCGAGGAGCTCAACCACTGGATCCGGCGCTACAGCGATGCTGAGGACGGGAAGAAGGGCTCGGCACCCACCCGGACCCTTGGCAGCGCTTCTGGCCCTGAGGGCTCTCAGCTAGGTAGGCAGCGGGAAGGTCAGGCAGGGGCAGTGGGAGGGGTCTTGGTACCTGAGGTTCGGGAAAGGGTCCTGATTCCCCATAGAGTGCTGCCACACCGGAGCACGGTAGAACTGAAACCAAAGGAGAACCCTCCCCTGGCACACGATGCCACCTGACCACTGGGAACCCAGCCCCAGGTCTGTGGTTGCTGGCTCGGGTGAGTGAAGAGCCCAAGGCAGGCCTGGAGGTCCTGGGCTCCAGAGCCCCCCTTCCCACCCCGGCTTGGCACAGGTCTCTACCCATGGTTCTCGGGGAACCCCTGTGGAAAGCTGAGGTGAGCAGATAGCCTAACCCCACCCCTCCTATTTCAGACCTGCGCCGGGAGCCCACGCCCAGGGCACTGTCCAGCTACATGCCGGAGGAGATCTGGAGGAAGGCTGGTGTGTGGGGCGGGATGGACCCAGGGAGCAGCTGGGCCTGGGCGGCTGAGCAGGGAGGGCCTCCACTGCCCCAGGCTGGGCTTGGACCACACACAGTGACACTTGTGCAGGAGGGCACATCGTTATGCACAGGCTTGACGGCCAGGCAGAGAGCAGGGGTGCCTCAGCCTGTGGGGAGGGCTGTGACTGTTTGCTGGTGCAGAGGGGCCCATCCTCCAGCCAGGAATCTGGGCACCACAGGCAGGGGAGGCTCCTGCTTGGAGCAGGTGGGACCAGGTGTATTTCAATGTGAGGGAGGGGGAGTTACAGAAGCTTGAAAAGTGGAGAAGGCCAGGGAGATAGCTCAGCAGCTGAAGCATCTGCTTGGCAAGCACAAGGTCCTGAATTCAAGCCTTGGTATCAAAAAAAGAAAGTGGAGAGAAGGGAGCGCCAGCCTGGAGGTGGGAGAAAGGGCCAGTGGACAGGGCCAGGTGTGGCCCCAGCCTGGGCAGGGGACAGCTGCTCTCCTGCAGCACTGTCCTCAGCACCTCACCTTAGGAGGCCTCTGCGGGTGTCCACCGGGGTCATGCCTAACATATCCACTGGCCTCGCCTCAGGGGTTCCAGGCCCTGCCAGGGGCTCAGCACTTCCAGGACACAGATACTTGGGGAGACTCAGGGGTGTCTCAGCAGCCTGCGTGGCGGTCCCATTGGGTTCTGTTATGCCTCTCCAGAGCCAGTTCTCAGTGCTGCCAGGTAAATCAAGACAGGCATCAGCAAGCTTGGTGTAGGTTAGCAAGGCCTTATGGAGTGCCGAAGCAGATCAGAAGGGATGTTTGGGGGCTGGCAGACTATGTCTCTGCTTTGGCGAGCCTAGGGACCAGGGTTCAATCCCAGGTCCAGCATTCTATGCCAGCCCCACTGAGCCTCAAACAATTCTGAGGTGTGCTGGCACACTCCCGAAATCTCAGTGCTGGGGAGGCTGAAAACAGGAGGATCACTATGAGTCTGAGTTGCGTAGTGAGACCCTGTACCAAATACATAAATCAGAAAAAAAAAAAAAAATGGATGCTTGAGCTATGACCTGACCCTGAAGCTCCCAGCAGACCTGAGCAGTGGGCATAGGCCTCCTCAAGAGGCCTGAGTCCCCGCCAACCCAGTGGGGATAGAACCTGTACTCCCTGGCCCCCAGGAGCAGCATGGGTGGCAGCCCCAGCTCTGGGGCGGTGCACAGAGTGTGGGTGAGGTCGCTTCCTCCAGAAGGCAGGGCCACGGGGAGCTCTGCTCTGCTCACTGGGTCAAACCTCCAGAAACCTGGGGCTCATCAGAATGGGAGAACCACGGCAGGGAGGGTGGAGGGGCTTCAGAGGTTGTGTGCACACTCGCTCACGCTTGCACACATGCTTAGGATGCACTTGCCTGCAGACCTGTGTCTGCACAGGCTGAGGTCTGTGTGCCCCAGTGCACGCGTGTGGAGGGCACCAGGTGTGTGTGCTATAGCTGCAGGCCCTGCCTAGTAACGGGAGCCCCGGGAAGCACAAAGCTCAGCCCTGCAAACACGGCCCCACATGCTTTGCAGAAGAGGCAGTGAATGAGGTGAAACGTCAGGCAATGTCAGAGCTGCAGAAAGCCGTGTCAGATGCTGAGCGCAAAGCCCATGAGCTCATCACCACAGAGCGTGCCAAGATGGAGCGGGCCCTGGCTGAGGCCAAGCGCCAGGCCTCCGAGGATGCCCTGACGGTAGTCAACCAGCAGGAGGATTCCAGCGAGGTAAGGGCAGCCACGCCCACAGCTAGGCACACCCACAAGTGCTCTGCTTGGGGCACCAGGCAGCAGCTGAGAGAGTGCAGGGGTGGCTGGGGCACCCAGGATGGGGTGCTGATGCAGGCTCACAGCCCCTGCTTTCCTTGTCCTCCGAGGTATGGGGCACAGACATCCCAGGGAGGGCTGGCTCAGGCAAGGAGGAGCCCCAGGCAGAGGGGTGGAGCCATCGGCCTCCATGCCACAGCTCTGCCAGCCATGTTCAGCTGTGCAGGAGTAGGTTGGTCAGAGGACAGAAGGCTCCAGGGTGGGCAGAGAAAAGACTGCACCGCCAGGCCTGGCGACACACACCGGTCATTCCAGCTACTTGGAGGTAGAGGCAGGAGGATCTAAAGTTCAAGTCTAGCCCAGGCAAAACCCTGTCTCAAAACAAAAAATAAAAACAGGGCTGAGGATGCAGCTCAAGGTTAGCAGTAGGCTCTAGGCCTTTGATTGAGCAGGAAAAAAAGTAAGAAAACATAACCTGACACACAGAGGAGTGATGAGTGTTTCAGGAGGTGGAAACGGGGGTCAGGCAGGCCCTCATGGCCAGTGATAGCCAAGAGCACCCTCAGGTCTCCCAGCCACCTGATGGGTGGGGGCAGCAGAGCCAGGCTGGCTGAACAGTGTGGGGGGCAGCAGTCACATGGCTGTAACTCTGGAGAGGCCCAGCTCTGGCCTGCACTTTGGGGGTCCCCAGAGAAGCAAGCCTTCGGGAACAGTTAGCACACTCTGCTGGACGCCCTCCCCAGCTGCAATCAGTCGTGTCTGCCATTGCCAGGCCAGGGCTCTGCCCTGGGAGGATCTGGGGGATGGGGGGTGGTGCTCTTCCTTGCAGTGCGCTAACCTCCCCGGCCCCCACAGAGCTGCTGGAACTGCGGACGGAAGGCCAGTGAGACGTGCAGCGGCTGCAATGCGGCGCGCTACTGCGGTTCCTTCTGCCAGCACAAGGACTGGGAGAAGCACCACCACGTGTGCGGCCAGAGCCTGCAGGGCCCTGCTGCCGCTGTTGCTGACCCGCTGCCCAGGCAGCCGGACATCACTGCCAGCCCTAGTGAGGCAGGCTCCGCGGGGCCCTCTCGCCCTGGCTCCCCTGGCCCCCCTGGCCCACTGGATCCCTCTGTGCCCCGCTGACCCCCAGATCCCACCACTTGGCCCGTGGATGCCGTGCCCTGCCAGCCCCTAGCCCAGTCTGGCCTACAGCCACTGCCCACCTGGCCAGCCTGCAGGAGTCGCTGCTGCTACTGCTTCTGCCCAAAAGCAACACAGAGCCAACCGGAGCTGCACAGCAGCCTCCTCAGCTACCTGACGTGACCATCCACCACGACCTAAGGACCTCTACCCGGCACCCTCCCAAGCCAGCGACCCAGCTCCAGCAGCAGTGGCGCCAGTGGGGTGTGCCTGGCCGTCCAACCCCGTCCTGTGTCTGTCTGTCTGTCTCCTGCTGTCTCTTGTCTTTGTTCTGTCTCTACGACTTCTATATGCTTTCCCTATCATGAAAGCCTAACTGGTGGCTTGTGTTTTCAGTGAAGAATTTGGAGATTTCGTTTTGTTGGCAAAACAGCTACTCAGAAATGGACAAAGATGACCATAAGGTTCTCCCCCTTCCTTATTAAAAGGGGGAAACTGATTTTATATTTAGAGACCTGAGCTCACTGTGTCACCTGGGCTACCCCAGGTGTCACCGGCAGATGCAGTCCACACGGTGAGGAAGATTTCAGTTTCCAACTCAAGTATTTTTGGTTTCAGGTTATTGTGGTGTTTTGTTTTGTTTTGTTTTGTTTTGTTTTGTTTTGTTTTGTTAATGTCAAACTCTTTGGCTTTAAGTAAAAATCCAAAAAGGTTTTTTGAAAAAAGCAAAGGAAACATACCTGTAAACTACCTTGCTAGCTAGCCAGCCAAGGATACCGGACACACCTCTGCTCCAAAGGAAACCCAAAAAGCAAACACAAGAAATTGAAATCCAAAATGCTTTTCCACTGCCAAAGTATTCCTTTCACTGTTTCAGCCCAGCCTGGGTTCATTTGGATGCTGGTCTTTTGTTTGGTTTGCATACTCTGGGGTGTTGGGATTCTGGGGTCTGAAGGGTCTGGGCTCAGCCTTCTGGTCACCCTCCCGTTCCCTCTGTAACTCTGCAGCCCCTCACCAGGCAGAACCAGGGGCAGTGAGGTCCCTGGCCCACGTGCTACCAGGCGTCCCATCCGGTTCAGGAAGACACCTGTCCTCGCACCCTATGACTGTCCGTATTTCATTTCTCTACTTGGGAAAAAAAAAGTGCTAAAGTGTTCTTTCCAGAGAGAGCACAACTCTGAAAACTGTGACAATCTTGGGGTTAACTGCTGGCTGTTTTCAGAGCAGAAGGCGGCGACTGACCCTAGAACCCTCTGTCCTCCTCTACCTCTCCTGGCTCCCACTGGTCACCATGCAGGCCCCAGGCCTCCTTTCTTCAAACTTTGCAGGAAAAAGAAAAACAAAACACACACACAGATGAAAGCAGCCACCCTCCTTCCCCTGGAAGATGTACTCAGCTGTATATAACCCGCATTCACCATCCGTCTGTCCGTCCAGCCAGCTGTTTTACAGCCCTGGGGACAGGACGCTCCCCACCTGCTCTCCCACCCCCCCACGCCACGTGATGCCCACAGCAGCTGAAGGAAGAGATGGGGAGACTCACGGCACCAAGGACAGACCAGCCCTGCTCCCTACACGTGGGGGCAGGGGCACAAGGACTCGTGTGTGGCAGGAGTCCGTCGGGCGAGTGCCCACATGCGTGAATGTGAATGTACATAGCTCTACAGAGGTCCAAATCATGGTGTCCACAAGGATGGTGAGAGATGTTTGCCAAATAAAGAGAAAGGAAACCACAGATGTGTATGATACAGGAAACGGGTTTTTGGTGAAATCTGCAGTTTCTCCCACATAGGATGGGGAGTTGCAGAATTCATTAAGTTAAGCAAAGGACCCACCAGGCGCCACCAGCCCTGGGACAGCACTCCCTTGCCCTACAGACCAGGAGACCCCTCTCTGGTGCTTCATGAGGCCCCGGGGCCACAGCCCTGAGCTGAAGGGCACTCCTCCATGGGTGTCAGGAAATGACAGCCATGTGGGAGCTAGCTCTGGGTCACACGTGGAAGCCTGTGCTGACTGTGGTCTTCTGTGCCCTTGGAGGAGACCTGTCCCCTGGTGCCTTGCGTGATCCCTGCTGCCTTGCTGCATGAAGCCCTCAGGGTCCTTCCTGCCTGCAGGTAGCAAAGGGCCCCAAATAACTGCCCCGGTGGGCGCCATGTTCACACAGGGAACACGGCAGGCCTTGAGCCTGCACCCTGGAGAGCAGGGTCCTTGGAGCCCTATGGCCTGAGTGTCAGTGAATGAGTCCTGATGCCCAAGTCCCTGGCCTTGGGCTGCAGGCATCACTCCTGGGTGGGCCCCTGGTCTGTGGTTCTGGAGGAAACCCCTTCTCTGTCCCTCCCCTCATTGTGTCCCTCTTTGGGACAGACAGGCCTCCCAGGGACAGAGGGAGACAGGCCACCTAGCCATGCCAGGCCCCACCAACAGGACACAGGGACTGGGAGACCTGAGACCCCAACAGTCAGGAGGGCAGGACAGGGCAGGGCGGGTGCAGCAAGAAAATGAGGCCGCAGGCAGCAGGAGAGCATGCCCGTCGTGTGCCGTGCAGGGGCTCGCGGCAGTGTCAGCTGCCACCTTTTGGAAGGCACTATGCTGTGCTGGTGCCAGAGCTGACACTGCTGTGGGCTCTATGCTCAGGTGCCACCCAGTCAAAGATCTCAAAATTGGACCCCATGGCCAGGGTTGGAAGGCGAGGATGGGGATGGTCACAGGGCAGCATGCTTTTGTGCTGGAAGTACCCTTTGCTCCCTGCCACAGTTTCATCTTCTCTGGAGTCTGGAGCTAAGACGGAAGTCTGGGGAGCCCCAGAAAGGGCAGATGGGCAGGATGGATGGGGACAGAAACCAGCTCAGCTGTGTCCAGGCCTTCTGTCTTTCCTTCCCTCTCTCCCCTGGACCCAGGACCTGATGGCATCCGTGGGCCATGCCCAGGAGGGCTCACCCAGGCTAGCTGTCTGACCAGGATGGAGGCAGAGACCTTCAGCTCCAGGCCATGCTGGCCACAGGTGTTGGTGTGGGACAGGAAGATAGTGCCTTCCAGGAAGGTCCAGGTGGAGGGCTGAGCAGGCCCCCAGAGGCCCAGCACTAGATGGGGGTAGACAGGAGAGTAGGGAGGGCTCACCTTAGGGACGTTGTAGACAATCAGGACAGACCCCAAATGTCTCCCATTTGCCAGTGTTTCCAAATCGTGCCTCTAGCTGACACCAAAGTCCATCCCTGGCATCCGTCTGCCCACCCCTCTGCCTACTCCTCAGCCAAGCTAATTATCAGCCAATCCTCAGTCCATCCTGTTAGCCCATCTATTCTTCCACCTATGCACCCACCTATCCACACTCACCCCCCACCCACCTACCCTCTATCACCCACCCCTCCACCCTCTGGCCATCCACCCAGGCACAGCCCACTCCACCATCTCTTTACTCTGCCCAGCCACACCCCTGTGCTTCATCTTCCCGCATACTCCAATCGTATCCCTCTGTCCTGCAGTCCCCCACAGCCATCCTCACTCGCATCCACTGAGGCCAATGTCCCCCGTGTACCAAGGACATAAGAGTACACCAGGCCCCCTCACAGCTTTGCCTGCATGTGCTGTGGGCCAACCAGGCTGCCTATGGGAAACCTGCCTGTGAAACAGCATCCACCACCATGGTGCCCCTTTGGGTTCAGGCCAGCTCCAGATACTTCAGGAGCAGAGAGATTCTACTGGGGCAGAGGGTCGCCCACAGGCCACTGGGACTCACCTTGACCACAGTATGTACATCCTCCCTGCCTCCGCCCCGGGAAATCAGCACCTGGAGGGGACACAAGAGGCTGTCCAGGAGGTCCCTAGGCCCTGGGGGTGACCCCATATCTGTCCCAGATAAGTCCCTGGTGGTGCTCTCCAGTCCCCTGGCCCAGCTATAGCCCCTGCCTCAGCCCCCACTGAGTTATGAATGAGCTGGGGTAGTCCCCAGGATCGATCTGCTGGACACTGAGGCCAGCTGGACTTGGGACCACCTGCTCCTGCAACCTCATGGACGAGGCGCAGGGTACTGCACAGTGACAGCCTGAACTCTTTCCAGAGGCCCACATGACCCAGTCTCACTTGCTCTGTTCCTTCTGCTGCCATCCAGTCAGACCCCAGGCCCCAGTGCCAGCAGTGGTCACAGGTAGAAGCACAGTACACAGCCTCCTCTCTGCTTTGTTCCCCTGAAGCAGCTGGACTGGGAGCAGGGCTGTTTGCTCATGAGAAGCCACGCCCATAGCCTACAGTCCTCCACCCTGCCCTGTGTGGCCAGGCTGCCCCATCTGTGTAACGCACCTCACCTCTGAGGTGCTGCCCCTTCTGGGCCCTGCTTTGCTCTTTCCCAAGTGCTGCAGAGCCCTCTCCCGGCAAGGAATGTGAGTTCCCCCTGGGAAGCCCTCCAAGGGGCGATGAGTCCAGTTGCGCATTGGGCTATAACTAGAGAGCCAGTGCTCAGTTCAGCTGAAATCCTGGGTCTCACACAGAGCAAAGGATAGGCTTTGGGGCCGGGGAGATGGCTCAGTAGGATAAGCGCTTGACTGGCAAATGCAAGGATCTGAGTTCAATCCCCGGTTCTGAAAAAAAAAAAAAAAGGCTGTGCAGAGGGGGCTCCAGGTAAGATGCACCCAAGGAGGAGATGCAGGGGTCCATCCCCACCACCCAGGCCCTGTGTGACCAGCTCAGTCCCTAACCTCCCTACCTGATCAAGTGCCATTCCTAACTCAGGCCTCCTGGGAGAGTAGGGGAGGGGAGAGGGGCAGAGACAGGGCACTCACAGCAGCTGGCCCTACTTGCCAGCTGGCCCTACCTGGCTTACACCCCTCCCCATGGAATGAAGTGTGGGTGGGGCTGCCCAGCTGGGAACCCTTGGTACTACAGTAGGAGCAGGTGGCCCGGCTTAACACCTGGGGCTGGGCAGGTGTGTGGAGGGGAGCAGCACCACAAGTGAGTGTAGCCCACTGCCCAGCTCCCCATGTGGCCCTTCCTGAGCCGCACCACCCTCTTCCCACCCCCCACTGAGGACTGGCTCCAGACAGTCTCCTCGGACCCTGAGGCCCAGGGCTGGGGCGCCTGTGCTGGGGCAGAGAAGACCCCTCTGGAGCCAGAGAGTGTGGGTGGGAGTGAGGCTGAGGAAGCCAATGTCGATGCCAGAGACTCGGACTTCTTGCTGTCCTTGTTGGAATCCAACGGCCTGGCCAAGGGCCCTGAAGCTGACCAGGTAGCAACTAGTGGTGGCAGGCAGGGACCTCGGCATGGGCTGGGTTCAAAGGGACAGGGAATGGACCAGAGGGGAGAGGGCTGCCTGCCTGGGGAGAAGACTGGTGGAAATCATTGGGGCAGAGGTCACAGGGGCTTCTCTGTAGGCCTGAGCACCACTGGGAGAAGTGGGTCAATTTCTAGGAGACCACAGCCCCTGGTAGGTCTGTCCCCTCCCTGTCCTCGTCCTGGCAGGCCCTGCAGGGTGCCCTCAGGCTCACCCGGCCATGCTGGCAGGAGCTGGAGGCCATCAGGCTGAAGCTGTGGACAATGGAGCAGGTTCAGGAGGCACCAGAACCATCCAGCACTCAGGCCAAGGAGGAAGAGGGAGCCGGGGCCAGGCAGCTGCTGCGCTCTGGGACTGTGGGTAGGAACCAGGGCTCCCTGGTGCCCCAGCCTCGTTCATGGACGTAGCTCGAGGCTCTGAGCTCACCTTGAACCTGGGCAGGATGGGGGGTGGCCTCCCGGCAAGGGCCACCAGGGAACAAGTGGTATCACTGTGGGCCAGGCCCATAGAGGCCCACCAGCCTGGACAAGAGGCAGCCACCACATGTCTGGGGCCTTTCCCCACAGGCTGCCCCTTCCCTGGGGTCCCCAGACAGACAGTGGAGGCTGACCACAGATCCATCTACGTAGGCAATGTGAGTGAAAGGAGGGCACACCTACATCCCGCTCTGTGGATGGGGCAACTGTCCTAGGGCTGTGAGGTGGAATCCTGTAGCCCTGTACCAGGGTCTGGGCTAGAGGGGCTGGGGGTTAGGGTTGGGGCAACTGGGCTGTCTCCCAAGGAATCATGGCCTGTTATCAGATGCCCTATTTGGTTGTTTTGTTTTTTTGTGGAACCGGGGCTTGAACTCAGGCCCTTGAGCTTGCCAGGGAAGCACTTATTCTACTGAGCCATCTCCCGGCCCCCTCGTTTCTTGAGTGACAGTCACTTTACAGACTGCACACCTCACACCAGCCCCGGGCTACAAGGTGGTCTGTGCAGAAAGCACATAAGCTCCCCGTGGGGGAGGGGGCAGTCCCAATGCTACTGTGCAGGGTCCCGGGTCCTCTGCACAGAGAACACAGGGACCACACCCTGGCAGGTGGACTACGGCGGGACTGCCGAGGAGCTGCAGGCCCACTTCCACCCCTGCGGGGAGGTGCACCGTGTCACCATCCTGTGCGACAAGTTCTCCGGCCACCCAAAGGGGTCAGTGCAGGGCTGGGGGGGTGGCAATGTGGACCACCCTCACCTGACCGTCACCCTGCTTCCCTCAGGTATGCCTATGTGGAGTTCACCACTCAGCGCTCAGCCCAAGCTGCAGTGGAACTGGACAAGAGCATCTTTCGGGGCCGCGTCATCAAGGTAGGCGTCCCTGGGATGTGCGCCTCTCCGGAACTGACCCCCAGGGGGCGCTGGTGCACAAAGAGGAGGAGGCAGCTGTCCTGGCCCCAGAGGCCCAGAGCTGCGGAAACAAGAACGCGAGGCTCGACTGCAGATGCCTTGTGCCTGCACGCCTTCGGTTCTAGGTGCTCCCCAAGAGGACCAACTTCCCAGGGATCAGCTCAACGGACCGCGGGGGACCCCGGGGCCACCTGAGCGCCAGGATGGCATCAGGCTCACGGAGCAGCCTCCAGGGCAGGCCCAGGCTGCGACTGCGACTGCAAGGGCAGGGCAGGTAGGAGGGCTGGGGAGGTGAGCCTGTTGCCCTGCAGGGACCCCCAAGACTGCCAGGAGGTGCTGACCTTGACCTGAACCCTCACCCTGTGTTCCGTCTTGCAGGGGGCACGGGGGATTCTCCATGTGGTTCTCACCATACTGAGACACCCAACAGGTCAGGAGTCAACAGCTGTGTTCCCTGAGGACCGCTTGCTCCACACAGGCCGGGTCTGCAGCCACAAGTCACACAGCTGCCCAGTGGGCGGCTCCAACTGGGGGCCTGGATAGCTGGGCGGCTGAGGCCAGGAGTCGGTGCCCAACCAGGCTAGTCCTCAGCTCTTCAACTCGCTCATTTTAAAGAAAAACAGAAGCATGTGTCTTAACAGTAAAGAATAAATTATTAAATTTGATTTTTTTTTAAAGCACACAATAACATCTCCTTCTCCCCTTTTTCCCTAATGTGGATGTGGTTCAGGCTGCTTGTACCTTCTTGGGCGAAGGCCACAGAGGGTGGGTGGAATGTGGCTGTGGCCTCACAGTCCCCAAGCAGGGGCAGCGAGGTCCCTCCGACGACTGCACCTCCACGCTCCCTCCGGGCCTCCAGGATACCTCTGACTCGGCAGCCTCTCCTGGACAGACCTGGCACAGGCCAGCCTGGTTAGCCACGTGGGAGGTAGGACTGGAGACAGTGGCCCTGGGCACTCTGCAGCCCCGTGAGGCCAGGACATTGAGCTCCCTGATGAGGCCACCCTGTACCCTGACAGGTGGGAAGGAGCCTGCTCAAGCCCCAGCTTGACGCCATCAGACACAAGCCTCTGCTTCACCTTTGTCTCAAAAAAGAAAATGTCTTCAGCCCCAAGTACCCTACACTGTCTAGGTGGAACCCGGGTCCAATGCGGGACGAGACCTGAGACACTGCAAGGAGACAGAAGCACAGCTTCCAGTGACACCAAGTGGGTGAGGCGAAAGGACATCAAGGGCGACAGGAGCTACACAGGGGTGGCCCTGCCCACAGCCACCCCACCTCCTGACCCTGAGCCGACGGAATACTTGTGCTGCACTACATCTCAGCAGCTGGGCCCACAAGAAGCTGGGGACCCAGGGCTGACACCGAGGCCTGGCTGAGGACAGGGCTGGACACTCAGCAGAAGCTGGCATGGAGCTGCTACCACCCAACCAGCCTGTCAGGCCACTTCCTGGCCATAGCAGGATGAACTCCATCCTGTGGTGGTGTTGCCTCAGCATGGCTGCTCCCGAAGGGCGCCCTGTCCCTCCTTTCCCATAGATTTGAGGAATGGAGTGCCCCGCCCTGTCAAAGTCTCCAAACATAGGTGGCCACAAATGGGCAGCTGCTGGGCTGGGCCGCATCAGTGGTGACAGAGCAGGTGCCCTGGGGCAGAAGGAAGGAAAGGGCACAGATGGCACCAGGAGAGGAGAAATCCCACTGAGGTCGCCAGACAAGGCAGCGCTTGGGCCTGAGCTAGAAGCTGCCTGGGAGGCGGGAGGCAGGAGGCAGGGACTGAGGGACAGGGCCAGCTGCACTGATGCCAGGGGCTCCAGGAAGAGGAGTATGCCTCTCGCCTCACATAATGAAGGTGAAGATGCGTGTGTAGAGCTAGGATCAACACAGGCTCCGGCTTCCTGCTGCCCTGTGCTGCACACAGGACTCTCCACTTCATGCTCTTAACACAGCTCTCTGAGGTCCAGCCACACATCCAAGTCCCAGGCAGGCAGAAGCAAAGGTGAACCCCTCCTGAAGGGCCTTGGCTGGAGTCTCTCCCCAGCACCACTCACTCATGCCTCTGCTGCCGCCCTGGGGTACATGAAGTGGAAGTGGCGTGCATCTCGACTCGCACTGCAGGCCACTAAAATGCCTGGCCAGGCCCGGCCCATATTCCCTCCCTTACAAATGCAGCCTTCTGGCTCAAACTCTGAGCCCAAGCACACACATCCTGTGCATCAGAACCAGCTGCCTGCTGTCCTGCGCCACAGCCCTGCGGAAGTTTTCCACTCACCCGGGGTACAGAGATCGGGCCTTGGGTTTGTTTACACATGCAGTACAGGGCCTTCCTATCAAGCTATACCCCAGCCCTCCCTTTTACTTCTTGAGGAAGGGTCTTGCTACATTCCTAGGCTTGCTCAACCACAGCTGGCTTATTATGCAATTTTATTTTATTTTATTTTATTTTTTGTGTGTGTGCGTGTGGCCAGCTCAGCCCACCAGGGGGCGGGCTGGCTGGCATGTGGTGCTGGGGGATTGAACCGCGGTCCCTGTGCTTTGCTAAGCTTGTTCTAAATAGATGCTTTAGACCACTGAGCCATCTCACCAGCCCTTATTATGCAATTTTAAAACTGACACTGCTTGCTGGAAGGAAGGGCAGGAGCCCAGAGCTGCACAGAGCAGCAGCTCACCTCGAATCCCACCCCAGCGTGCCAGCTGGGAACACTTGGGTCTCAGAACCCTTGAAACTCTTAAAGGAGGGGAAACAGATGGTTGTTCAGCAGGCCCGCAGTTGCCTGGGCTTGCAACTGGACAAAGCCAATGGCTCTGAATGCAACATGCCACAGGGACACCTGGATGGACGGCATTAGCCAGGGGCCATGAGGCCCCTATCCCACCCAGGCTGGTATCTCTCAGCCAGCTGTCAAATGACACAGGAGCCAGCTTTACTCGGAAGACCCTGCCCCCTCCATCCCTGGCACAGTGTGGTCACCATCCAGGCTTTGGCTGTATGGGTCTTGGGGACACTGACCACAAGATCCTGTTCCAACCTGGGATGCCCATGGGACAGCAGCAGACTCAACTGTAACTGCCAGAGGCAAGGGCAGAGCCAGGGCTCCTGTTCTCGGTGCCCACCCTGCACTGCCACCTGAGGTCGCTGCTCCCAGGGGAACCCACTGCCCCTGCCCAGTGCCTGAGCCCTTCCTGCTGGGTCTGTCCCCTAGGTCCCCAGTGCGCCCCAGATGACACAGACGACAGGCTGACTCTATCTCCCAAGCTTTAGTGGCGAGGCATGCGCCCAACCTCACTCAAAGCAGCTCCCTCACATGTGGGAAGATGAACGACGATAGACTCTCCATGCAGCTATGTACACACCACCGCTCTCAGGCAGGCACAGGGACCTGAGTCCTTCCCGCTGGGTCTGTTCCCTAGGGCCCCAAGGCGCCCCAGATGACACAGACAACAGGCTGACTCTATCTCCCAAGCTTTAGTGGCGAGGCATGCGCCCAACCCCACTCCCAGCAGCACCCTCACACGTGGGAAGGTGAACGACGATAGATTCTCCATGCAGCTATGTACACACCGCCGCTCTCAGGCAGGCGCAGGCGCAGGGACCTGCTCAGCATACCTGGATCATCATCGATGTCACCATGTTGTCAAAGGCCCTTGGACGAAAAACGGTCATCAGGAAAACAGCTCTAACCCGTCCCTGTGGGCAGAGCTACAGCCCCTCTGAATCCCCAGCAAGACAGGACTGCTCCACCCTCCACCTCAAGGCCCGGATCTGAATTGCTCCCATCCCTGTCTTCTGACCCCATGGTCCCTGTACCCTTCCCTGGAAGGTTCCCAGGTCAGGGCCAAGTCCCAGGCAGGGGCAAGAGAGCAGCAGGTGTGACAAGAGCAGCACTGTCTCTACCTGGCACAGCTGGGGACACCCGCTGTCACCCAGACCACAATGACCCACAACACACAAGGAAGGCACACTAAGCATGGGCTTAGCATGGGTCACCTGCCCCGGGGAACTGCTGTGGACCAAGGGAAGCCGGGGCGGGATGTAGCACATGGATCCACACTTTTTCTCAAGGCTTCTTTGTGACATTTATCCAACAGTAAGTTGCCACATCTGTTTGCTGGCTCTGCTGGGAATCGGGGAAGGGCCCCTCACATGCCAGGCAAGCACCATGCCACAGAGCCAATCTCCAGCCCAGGAAGATACCTGGGGAACAAGCCCAAACCATCCAAGTCCTCCAGGAGAGGGAGATGGGCAAGGGCAAGAGGACATTTCCTCCCTGAAGGCCACTGTACACAAACCTAAGCCCTGGCTCTACTCTCTGGGGTGCCTCGGGGGCCCACTGGGCACACCTGGGAAACCAAATGGGCAAGGCCTGACCACATTGGCCCTGAAGCTGGAGGTGAACTAATCAGTCAGCTCATTTACAAAGGGTTTCTCTTTTTTGGTACTGGGAATCGAACTCAGGACCTTGCGCTTGTCAAGCAGGCTATTTGCCACAGCACTATACCCCTGGCCCTACAAAGGGTTTCTTTCACCACTTTCAAGTCAGTGCGATAGGAGACAGGACTCTGCCACACTTCAAATGACTCTGCTCTGGTCAGGCAGGCCCTGCACCGAAGTGGCCACATGGACAGTAGGCCCACCTGGACTGGATGCGGTCCCCAGGGTTGTAGAAGGGATTACACATCACATCTGTGTAGGAGTTATGCAGCTTCCGGAACATCTGAAACAGAACCCAGCAATGGTCTAAGTGATCATGTGCTGTGCGGCTGCTGGGCATGGGCCTCTTAGCATTTCCACGCAGCAAAATGAGCAAAACCAAACCCACCCCTGCCCATGGTACACCTCAAATCCCCCCCACTCACACTGCGAATTTCGTTGTCTCGTAGGGCCGTGTTTGAGGAGTCCACCACCATGACAAACTTCACCTTGGAGTTGGTCACATAGCCATATCTGCACAGCTGGTTAGGAAACACACCCACATACAGGGACCGCTGGAGGAGCCTACAACTCTGGGACCACTGTGTGCTCTGGTGTTGGAGACACCTGACAATGCTGAGTCACAAGAGGTACCCAGGGGGACAGGTCCTGTGGTAACCACACAGGTGTGCAGGTGGACGGACACCTTTATATTGTCGCCTGGTGTTTGCAGGAGCAGAGGAAGCCAAGCCTACAACTCACACCAAGTCTGTCTATACCAGGACCACATCAGCTTCTTTTGAATCAATTTCGAGCCCAGGAAGTTAACTGCAAAACCAGTTCTCACAGATAGGCTCGCCCCTCACCAAATATCCTCACAGTGTAATATGGTGGCCGGGGCCACCATCATTGTTATGGGTTAAGGCCAGACAGCTGTCCCAGAGCATGGTGTGTTCATAGGGTTTGGGGAAGCAACAGGATCATGTGGGTGGGGAAATATTCAACAATGAGGAGTTTCTAGCAAAACGTGGTTTAGGAGGTAAACCACCTCTGCTTCTCTGCCAGGTCTAGAGCCACCGTCCTCTGCCACGTCCACGTCATGCCGTCCTACCTGGGAGCCAGCTGAGTATGAAGAGAAACGTCTATAAACTGAATTAAAACAAACCTTTCCAGCTTCAGGGTGGGTGTCAGGTATTTTGTCCCAGCAAGAAACTATGCTAGTGAAAATGTCTTTGAATTCCATAACCTCAAGCAATTGTCACAGGGACTGCCCAAGGGTTTCCAACAACAACCCAACAATAACGACCTAACAAAAAATAAATGAAACAACTACCCCTGCTTGAAGTCAAGCTGAAAAGCACCGAAAGACCTCCTTGTTGGTATAAAGCAAAGGAAGCCCCAGTTTCTCCCTATACGTACCCCACTCTCCATTGAATTCGAGCCTGTGTACCTCACGTGATTCCCCAATTAAAGAAACATGACATTTAGAAGCCCTCATGAGCTTCAGGCTACCCCAACTCTGTAGCCTGGTAAAAACCCTCACTTTCTTTTTTCTCCTTTCCGTTATTTTTGTTGTTATTTTTTGTTTTTGTGGGTTTCTTTTGGAGGTTAATTGAGACAGTTTCACCACATAGTTCAGGCTGGCCTCCTGGCTCAGCCTCCCAGGCGTGCACCACCGTGCCAGCTCAGTTATTTTCCAGAACGTCCGCAGCCATTACAGCACCGTGCCAGGGCACTGAAAGATACACCTTGTAGTCCTCTGTTGGGTAGAGGAGGCCCAGGTAGAGCTCGCGCTGGTCCACCAGTGCCTTCCCCATGGCAGAGATCTTCTCGTCCACCACGTCCAGGGATGTGTGCACCATGTAGTGGAACTTGAGCTCATTCTCCATGGGGGTGCTGCGGATGTAGAGAGGGTAATTCTGCAAAAAAAAAGAGATGGTGCTAGCTCTAAGGACAGCAATCTACCCAGCACATGCTGGCTCTGAACGGTGCAGAATGCCAGAGGGCAGTCCACACCCACCAACCATCCTGGGAAGGGACCCTCTTTTGTGACAACCACGCTCCGCTCTCTATCCTCCCTCAGGCACTGCCTGTGGACCCGTGTCACCTAAGCAAGTTCACTTGCCATTAGCTGACCAGTGGCCCCATCTCTTGGTGGCTGACACACATATCTGAGTCCACTCTGCCCCAGCTACCTTGGGGTCTGAGTGGGACCATCCTAGCATGGTACCGCCCTGCAAGGCCAGTGGCCCTGTTCCTCAGCCCTTCCAGGCTCCACTCAAGTGCCCCATCTCTGCGCATCTAATCAGCCTGGAGTGAACAGCTTCTCTCCCAGTCTCCCACACACAATTCCCTATCCCTGCCGGGCTGAGCACAATGACATCTGTGAACGAGATGTCCCCACCCCCTGGAACAGGAAGGTACGTAGTCCGCAGACCTGCAAACACACGTTGGCAGTCCCCAATGTACAACAGCATACACAGATGCTTTACCATGAGTTCATCCAGGTATTAAGTACATTTTCAACTTGTGAATAGTTTCAACTTAGGGTTGGTTTGTGGGGACAGTGCCCCATCTAAGGAGGTGCACTGAGAGTGCTCCGGGGTGGCTGTGCTCAAAGCCCACGAAGAGCATCACAGGCGCAGCTGCCCGACCCCGCTGTCAGGAAAGCAGCCGCAGGAAGCACTCCATAGGCCGGGGAGACAGCTCCACGGCGTAAGCACCTGCCTGGCACGCGCAGCCCCGAGCTCAGTCCCTGGTTTCGGAAAAGCAGGACAGAAGAGCAGCGAGCAAGCTCCATGCTTGGGGCAGGCAGCTGTACTCTGGCCGCGAGGAAGGGAGGCAGGAGGCTCGGCCAGAGGGCAGGCCTGTGCGCGGGCTGCGGCGGCGGCAATCGGCCTCCAGACGCCACCCCGAAGCAACAAGGTGGCAGACGTGCGCCACGACCGTTCTCTGAACCCCGAGCAGGAGAGGGCGGCACCCGCAGGGACGAAGCAGACCACCACCAGGGGAAGCCCGTGGGGCGGCGCGCTGAAGGGCTGCGGGCGCCGCCAGAGCGCGGGCCGGCACTCCAGGAGCGAGGAGTCCCGGGGGCAAGCCGGCAGCGCGGCCGACCTGAGAAGTCGGGCGGGGAGGCGGGCGGGGAGGCGGGGAGGCGGGCCGGGCCTGTCGCGCGCCCACACGAACCTCCTTAGCGATCACCGCGACGCACACCGCCATCTTGGCCGGCAGCGCGGCGCGTCACGCGGGGGCGCTCGTCACGTGGGGGGCGCGCATCACGTGGTCGGCGGCCCCGCCTCTCGCCGCGCGGGCGGAGCCTGAGCCCTCGCGGGGTGGGCGGGGCCTCGCGCGGCGCTTCCGGGTCCTGCCTGCCAGTCGTCATCCGGCCCGCCCCGTCGGCAGCCCCGGGAGGGCTGGTCCGGTCGCGTCCGGCTCGGGCTCGCCGGAGGAGCCGCGCATCCCTTTTCCGTGGCTCGGCCTCCGTGGTGGCTATGGCTGCGGTGGTCGCTGTGCCGAGGGAATGGCGGCTGCTGCTGCTGCTGCTGCTGCTGCGCGCCGCGGGGCCGGCGGCCTGGGGCGCCCCGCAGCCCCCCAACATCCTGCTGCTGCTCATGGACGACGTGAGTGCTGGCGGCGGTCGGGGGGCTGGCCCTAACCCGACCCTGGCCCCAGCCGTGACCCTCCCTGACCCCAGCACTGACGGGGCTCTCATCACGGGCCCACGCCTGTACCCCAGCGCTGGGCACGATGAAAGCAGGGGGATCCCCACAAGTCCCAGCTACGTAGCGAGACCCTGCAACAACTAAATCCCTTTTTTATTTATTTTTATTTTTTTTAAATCTTCATACTTTGTTTATTTATTTATTTTGTGTGTGTGTGTGTGTGTGTGTGTGGCCAGCTCAGCCCACCAGGGGGCGGGGCTGGCTGGCATGTGGTGCTGGGGATTGAACCGCGGTCTCTGTGCTTTGCTAAGCTTGTTCTAAGTAGGTGCTTTAGACCACTGAGCCATCTCACCAGCCCTAATCCCTTTTTAAAAAATACATTTTTTAATTTTTTTAAAAAATTAAATTTCAAAAATGGGGATGGAGCTCAAAGTAAAGACCGTAAATTCCATGCTCAGTAGTGAAAAAAAGAAAAGATGAAAACCCTTTTAGTCAAAGAACCGGAAATGAACTCAACCTCAAAGGAATTTAAGCAAAGGCAGGGCTTCCTGGCTGGGTGAACAGAGCATGCCTGCAACCCCGCTCTTTCAGAAGACCGACACTTAAGGATCGCTAATTCAAAGCCAGCCTGAGCAGTTTAGTGACACCCCACTTCACAATTAAGAAATCAAAGGCGAGTGTGGTGGTGCATGCCTGGAATCCCAGCGCTTGAGAGGCTGAGGCAGGAGGGTTGATGCAAGTTCAAGGCCAACATGGGCTACAAAGTGTGCTCAAGGCTAGCCTGAACTGCAGAGGGAGAGACCCTGTCTCAAAAAAATAAATAAATAAATAAATAAATAAACAAACAAAAATAAAAAGGGCTGAAGATGTAATGTAGCCCAGTGGCAGTGCCCTTGTCTAACATGTGTGAGGCCCTGACTTCCATCCTCAGTGCCACCAAAAAAAGGGGAGAGTGGGACACATTTCCTGACTCCCCTGATGAGATAAAACGGACACCCCTGGCTTCAGGCAGGTGGAGTCATCTTCCAGGTCTTGTAGCTCTACTGTTCCTAGTCTGACTCTATGATGATTTGTCATGACCCTGAGGTAGTACCAGGTGACTCTGACTCAGTCTCACAATCATCTGAAGTCCCAGCCTGCTGAGTCCGTTGGCCTGGCCTGGGTCAGAACCTGGCACCAGGCACACTGCAGGGAGGAGATTGCTGATCTGCCTGATGGGCCCCCTGGAGCCACACTGGTGGAGGATGGGTTGTCTACTCAGCTTGTGCAGGAACCATTGTCCACCCAGAAGCCTGTGTCAGCTGAGGTGGTCACCTGCATTTCTCTGATATACCTGGCCGGGGTACAGGCAGATACTGCACATGCCAGCTGACAAGGTATGACCTCAGCATGTGGAAGGCCTCAGGCCTCTTCCCTGGCCACACCGTCCTGCCCTGCAGGCCAGCTGCCTCTGCCAGCATCAGTTGCCTGGACCTGGGATGGGTAGCTCCATGGCTCTGGTCCATGCAAGCCCACACTGGTGGAGGATGGATTGTCTAGCTCAGATTATGCAGGAGCCATTGCCCACCATGAGCTCACTGCCCACAAACCAGTCTCTCCTGGTCCAGGAAACGGTAGCCAGGCAGAGGTGCCAGGCTGACCCCTTCTTAGAGTATGGTGTTGTAGGAAAGGGATGCCCCAAAGCTAGTGCCCTGCACCATGCGAGGTTCACCTGCCAGCCATGGTGACCTGTAAGGGACCCTGCCCCCAGACAGGCAGGGTGACAAAATTACAGTGCCACCATCAGCTGGGGCTAGGATCATGAAGTCTGGTCATGGAGTGTCCTCAGAGCCAGTGCACGTGAGGGTGCTTGTGGATGAGTTCAGGAAACCCAGAGGCCCAGTTCTACCCAAGCCTGCGCTACCTGAGAGTAGGGCACTCAGCTTCTGTTCCTTACGTGGAGGACACTACAGCCTCACACGCATCCGGGTGGGTGCTAACCCTAAGCAAAAGACAGGGCTGCAGTTGGAGGGGTCATCATGCCCACAGGGCCCTTCTCGCCCATTCCGTGTGCGCAGTCAGGAGGGGGGGGGTTGGCACTGTTTTCTTTTTTGCAGTGCTAGAGATTCAACCCTGGGCCTCTTGAATGCTAGGCCTGCTCCCTACAACTGAGCCACATTCCCTAGACTTTTATTTTTGAACTGTCTTACTGAGTTGCCAGGCTGACCTTGAACTGATCTTCCTGGAGTAACTGGAATTACAGGTGGTCACCACCTCACCTGGCTTTTTGGATTTTTTTTTTTTTTTTTTTTTTTTTTTTTTTAGGGAAGGGTCTACAGGGCTTTTAGGCTGTCACTACTAGATCAGACTCATAGTGATCCCCCTGTTTACAGCCTCCCAAGAGCTGGGATTACAGGCTGGTGCCACCACGCCCAATCTTAATTGCTGTCTCAGCATGCCCCGGGGGTGGGTTAACAAGGTGGGCATAGGGATTGAACCCCCGGCCTGCTTGCAGGCACCTTAATCTGCTGAGCTATTTGGCCAGCCCTTCTTTGGAACTTTTGACAGAAGGGAAGGATGTTTCACAGGCTGGACAGGGCATGACCAGTGGTCACCTTTAACCCCAAAGCCCTGCACAGGAATTTAATGTTTCCATTTTTATGACTAAGAAAGCCAGCAAGTAACAGAGGAATAAGTGTTAAGCAGAAAGGGGTCCAACAGGCAGCCTGGGATTTCTGTCCTCAGGAAGGCCCTGCAGAGCTTGTTGCACTGCTGGTGTCCAGGCCTGGGTTTGTGGGTGGGAATGGCTTTCGGCCCTGGACTATGCAGACATTGTGATTTATTAGGGCACTTGTCTTCCTCCTGGGTGTCAGGAACCTTGCTACCTACCTGGTAGAGGCTCCCCCACAACCACCTCCAGTAGAAACCCCACCCATAATTCTTTATCAACTTCCTACTTGACACCACACACATACGTCATCACTAAATGCCTCAGGAACTCTGTGGGCTCCTTAGGGACTGTGGAAGGGATCCTGGCCTCCTAGCCTCTGCCTGTCCTCTGGCTGCCAAGCCACTGCCTTGAGTGACTACATTGACCTGCAGCTCCTTGAAGCAAGGGTTTCCATGCTCCCTGCTTCCTGAGTGGCCAGTGCTGATAGCTGAGCCTACATGCTATAAAACATCTCCACCTGTGTCCACTCTGCTCCTGGTGGCTTGGGAACAAGTTAGCAGATCTCTTGGGAGCAGATCTGGGTGTAGCTCTGCTCCCATGGGCCTCGGAGCAGCCAGGGATCCTGACCCAGAAGCCTCCCACCTGGGCAACAGTGGCAGGGAGAGGGCAGCAGGATGGGCAAGCTCAACTGGTCACCTTGGGTGCTGTGATTGCAGCCAGTGTCTGTCCCTCTTAGAGGTACCAGGTTGTACCTGGCTCCAGCCTCCTGCTTTTCGGCCTCCATTGCAACCATGGTGGCCACATGGTGTGCATCTGGCTGCTGGTGCTTTCCTGACTGACAGTGTTACAGACCAAGGCCCTGTGGCCTTACCCCATCTCTACTCCCAGCCCAAGCACAACCTAGTGCCCAGAGGTGCATCCCCCAGCTGTACCCATGAGGAGAAATCTGCACAGGTCTGAAGGAGCTTGAGTGTTGGGAGATACCTGTCCCACTAGGGGAAGGTCCCTGCTGGGGTCACTGGATGTGTCCCGAGGATGCCCCAGCCCATCCAGGCTTATTGGCTTGGTCCCTGGACTTGCAGACACACAGGGCTGAGCCCCTCTGTTGTCCAACATGGTGGCTGTGATCAGCCACCTCCTCACCCTGCTCCTTCCTGCTCAGGCAGGCCTGGACAGGACAGGCCAGTGGTGCACATTGCCAGATGGAAAGGCCATTTCAGCGGCTTCAGACATTCCAGAAAAGGCCAAAGAGAATCATGTCTCAAAGATCCTACAGCCAAAGGGGACTTTCAGGGTGAAGTCCAGCCTGAGTCAGCCCTGAGGCCCCATGTCAGAAATGTGGCTGCCCAAGAGCCTGAGCAGGGGAGAGAGGCAAAGTCACCCTCAGGTCCCGTGAGCACTGGACAAAAGTCACCAGCCCTGGACCAAATCTCTGGGTCCAGCTTTCCAACCTGACTGTAGGGGCCCTGACCGCCCCACACCCAAGTTGTCTTGATTGCTGAATTGCCAGAGCCTAATGAGCCTGGAGGGCGGGAACTGGCACCAGCTGAGGTCCTGGAGCAGACCAGGTTGCCCGCACCCTCTTTGTAACCACCCCACTGAGATCTAGGTCCCCAGTGAGAGCATATAGTCCCTCAGGGTTAGCACTGTCACACCACCACACGGTGTCAGGTCTGTGTCCTCACCTAGAAACCCCACCCACCTGCCAGCCACTGACAGGCAGCCTCCTTCCTGTCTTGATGGCCAAGCTGGTTGGCCTGAAACAAGCAGGCTGCCAGGCTGCTGGGGACCAGGGCGCAACAGAGCTGTGTCCGTGAGGCAGGCCCTCCCAGCAAGTCTGTCCCTAGAGTCTCCTTATGGGACATTGCTGCCCTGATCTAGCAGGACCTCGTCACGATGCGTTACATTTACAAAGGCCCTATTTCCAAGTAAAGCCATGTGTCCCCGTGGGCATGAAACTGGGAATCTGTCCATCATATCTGGTGCTTTGGGTTGGCCCCAGCCCGAGGCTGTTGGAGTCAGTACTGTGGACACTGTCTGGTGGGCTCTGCCCCTGAGTGTGATCTGGCATGGGGAGCTGGGTTGTCCGCTGTTGCTGGGAGCGCACCGCCTTCTTTGGAGGTCTGAATTTGCTTACAGTTCTGTGTGTTGCCAGCTCCCCGGAGATGCATAGTTGGTGCCCTGAGAGGAAGGGCCGCTCCTCCAGAGCAGCCAGACAGGATGGAGCAGTGGAGCAGGGGCCAGCAGGACAGAATGCTCAGTCCTCCAGGACAGAATGCCATGTGCAGAGGAGTTCATTTCACATCTGTGCTTCTCCTGCAGATGGGGTGGGGTGACCTGGGGGTATATGGAGAGCCCTCCAGAGAGACCCCGAACTTGGACCGCATGGCTGCAGAGGGGATGCTGTTCCCAAACTTCTACTCTGCTAGCCCTCTGTGCTCACCATGTAAGTCCATGTCACTGCCTACCCAGGGGCCCAGCTGACTGCCAGGGGGGTGCCGTGCCCCATGGCCACCCAGCCCTGGCCCTGCAGGGCGAGACCCTCAGCACCTTGGAGCCTGTCTGAGACACTCCAGGTGGACCTCTAACCCCTGCGTCTTCTCTGTGTCCCAGAGCAGTGGCTGTCCCTCCTCCCCATAGTCACTCCTGCCAGAGAGGAGATGACCGTGGAGGAGCCACACCCGGTGAGAGGCTCTCACTGACCTGCGTGTCGCCTGCAGTGCAGTGGCTGTCCTGTAGCCTGAGCAGTACATAAAAAGTGCACCTGGGCTTGTCAGCAGGAAGTTGTGCCCACAGCCTGGGGATGAGAGGCCAGAGGAGATGGAAAGCCTGGAGGGCACTGTACTGCTACATGTGGCCTCGGCAGCAGAGCGCTGTGTGTGGGTGCTCAGGGCTGGCCAGGCTTCTCCAGATGTGTCCTCACAGTATCTCTGTTTGTCACCTCCTGTAGCCAGGGCGGCCCTACTCACTGGACGGCTGCCCATCCGAAACGGCTTCTACACCACCAATGCGCACGCCAGGAACGGTGGGTGCTACCCCTCTGCACTCTGGGGCCCAGGCATGGTGGGCATGGTGTTCATGGAGGGGAAAGACAGCTGCAGCCATCCTGGCCTGGTTGTACAGAACCTGGCTTCTGGCCTAAGGTCATCGGAGGACCCAGCCTGGCTCACCTGGTGCCCCTCAACCACCCTACCCTGCCCGCAGGCACTGCCCAGCCTGGCTGGAGAGTGGGGCATTCCTTCCTCAGGGACTTCATACCCTCCTGGGTGGCAGAGACCTAAGAAAGCTAGGAGATGGGAGGTTCCAGCAGGTAATGTTCTGGACAGTGCTGAGAGCCCAGATGGGTCCCCCAGGGAAGGCTCCCAGATGAGATAGGATCACAGGCCCTGAAGAGAGGGAAGCAGGGAGGCTAGGCACAAACTGCACCTTATGGCAGAGAACTGCTGCCAGCTGGGGCAGGAGGTGGAGAAAGGCGAAATGCCCAGAGGGCATAGGGCACAGTTCGCACTTCACCCTTGGAAATGTGCTGACTCGGAGGGGTGTGGGCCCCTGAGAGGGCCTTGTGGACTTGCCATGTCCAGCCTCTGTCTGGTACTCATACACGGCCCCGCCTTTCCTTCCAGCGTACACACCACAGGAGATAGTAGGTGGCATCCCTGACTCCGAGCGCCTCCTGCCTACGCTTCTGAGAGAGGCTGGCTATGCCACCAAGATCGTGGGCAAGTGGTAAGTGGGCCGGCAGGGACTGGCGGCAATGGTCAGGCACAGCCCAGCAGGGCTGCTCCGTGACTGTGAGCAGAGAACCTCAGTGTGGCAGGGCTCAGCCCCACTCACCCCACACTCCCAGCTGTCTGTTCCAGGGCTTTGGCATCATTGCACACGGTGCCTTGCAAGGGGACACTGGCCAGCTGCAGAGAGTGCAGTCGGTGGGGGAGGCACTCTGCCCAGAGGAGGGTGCTGGCCCCGGGGCTCACGGCATGGCAGGCGGTTGTGCAGCTGTGCTTTTTGCTGCAGGAACTGGACTTTTTCTCCCTGGGACCTCAGATGTAAAAGCCTGTGGTCGGGCTGCAGGAGTCCTCCCTTGTGCCCAGGGAGCTTCCTCGGTTCTGCCCTCTGCCAGCACCCTGCTCCCTGTGGCCTCTGGTACCTCCCTGCAGGGACAGCGTGTCCAAGGACATTGGCAGTCCTGAGGAATCTGCTACAACCTAAAGGACAATTGTAGGAACATCCAGGCAATTGGAGACTTGTAGGTGAAAAGAGGGAGCAGCCCAGAACTCAGCAATGACCAGGAGGGGGCAGAACAGAGGGGGCAGACGCGTTGGGCTGAAGTCTTCCTCTTGCTGGGGGCCAGTGGGCCACTTTGAGACCAGCCCTTGAGGACTGTGCAGGCCTCGGAGCACCACCAACACAACCCAAAGCTCTGTCTGGTGCCCAGAAGCTCTGTCCTGGCCCACAACTTCCCACTCACCGTGCTGACTTGGGTGGTGGAGCTCACTGTTGGAGAGCTATGACTGGGAGGAGCAAAGCCAGGCGGGCCTGGAGCACCAGTGCTTGTAGAGTTGGCACAAGGGTGTTGTGGGCCACGGACTAGCTGCTCCTCAGTGGGGGAGTCCCCATCTCCCCAGGCCCTGACATCAGCACTCAGGACCCAACGTCATCAGCCTGACTGGGTCCTGGGTGACAAGCCCTTCCCGAAGCCCCACATTGTCAGCCTGGCTGGCACTGTCTCCTCTCCTGTCTGGAGACAGGTACGCCTACCTGCCTCCCCCTGAGCAGGACCCCAACTCACTTTATCCTGTACAGTAGCCTCTGTGCTGCTGAATACAGATGCACAGGAGGCCATAGGTGGCTGGATAGCCACCCACCATCAGGAAGGAGCAGGCACCCTAGCAGGGACTGAGGGCACCCGAAACGCAGAGGCCCAGGCCCCAGGCTTGGCAGGGCCAGAAGATGGAGATCCAGCTCCAGAGCCCAGGCAGCCTGCACTGTGGATGCGTCCATGCCTCAGCCAGGCTCCTCTGAGTGAGCAGACCAAGTCCAGATAGACAGCTTACCTGAAGCCCAGGTGCTTTGGGGCTTAGCCTGTTCTTCCAGCCCTGGCCCAGCCTTTTGCGTCATTCCTGTGATGCAGCCACTGAGTGACCATGAGCATGTGGTCACGGGATGGGGGACCCGGGTGACTCAGTCCAGGGTCTTAGGTGTGTCAGGATGAGGCCTATCCCTGTGCAGCCCAGAAAGAGAGCCCATCCCTGATGTCACCGTCTTCCAAGTAGAAGTTTTCAGTGGCATTTATGGGGCATGTGCAGAACTCACGTGAGCTGGCTGAGGGCTGTGACCCAACCACATCGAGAAGCCACCCTGCTCTGAAGACCAGAGGCTAGTCACCCCTAGGATAGAACGGGTCCTGCTCAAGGCCATCAAGCCTAGGTGCCCCATCTGCTACCTGGAGGGGGCCATGAAAGTGGTGTCCCCAAAAGGGGGGGGTGGAGTGGGGTCTCTCGGGTGCCCACAGCTGTGCCACGTACCTTCAGTGGGTGAACCCCACAGCCCCTCAAGCCTCAAGCACATGAACATCTGTCTGCACGGCTCCTGCACTGTCCGGTGTGGGCATGCTGATGTCTTGTGATCACCCAGCTGCAGCTCACGGCCAGGCTGGGGACCTGAGTGCAGCCCACAGTCTGAGCTGCTGATTGCCCTCTGCCCACCACTGCCGCCTTCCTGAAGTGCTGTGTCAGGAGATGTACTGCACATGCTCAGCCCCCGTGGCGTTGCTAAGGCAACAGCCCTGGGTGTGCTGGGCAGTGTGGGGTCTGCAGGGCTGGTGATGTTGGGAGCTCTCTTCCCAGGCACTATCCTCTGGGGCCATGCCCACTCATCACTGCAGGACACCCCAGGCTTGCTGCGCCCCAACACTCTGGCCTTGGCTCAGCCTGAGGAGGGTGGCAGGTCCCATCACTTCTGGGCTGAGGTCTGGCTTTCCATTGCTTGCAGCCGGGGCTTTGCTCACACCTGGAGCTAGGGGTGCTTGTTTGTTACTTGTGAAGCTAAAGTGTCCCCAGCTGTAGTACCTAAATTACCTGGTCCTTGTTTCTAGGCACCTGGGTCACCAGCCCCAGTTCCACCCACTGAAGCATGGATTTGATGAATGGTTTGGATCCCCCAATTGTCACTTTGGACCTTACGACAATAAGGCCAAGCCCAATCTCCCTGTGTACAGGGACTGGGACATGGTTGGCAGGTACCACCTCTGCCCTGCCCCGCCATCCCCTAGCAGACAGTGGGGGGAGGGGGTGGTGAAGCCTGAGCCATCTGCTTGTCACTGGTGTCCTGGGCCCCAAGAGCACTGGCAGAACTCACATGAGTCCTGCCCAGAGCCCTGGGGCTCAGCTTCATGTTGTGGCAACCTCTGAGGTCAGAGATTACTTTGGGATACCTGAGTTGAAGGGACTTCACAGCTTTGCCCTTGGCTTCAGGGACTGGGGACCCTGTGCTGCCCCAGGAGACCTGAAGGCCATGGCCTCCATGTGCAAAGGGGTGCTGCAAGTAGCCTGATAGGGATAGGAGGAAGACAGGGTGGAGGAGCCGGCACGTGGCCTGGTACGGTAGCCTGATAGGGATAGGAGGAAGACAGGGTGGAG